GCAATCCAATCCCGCTAGCATGCAAAATGGACGCCAAACACATGGCGCCACCCTCCAAGAGGCTTCCACGGGTGCCACGACCCTCTCGGAGCCAAACGGTCGAAACACCACTCCAAAACTCTCCCAAGTACCCTGCCATTCTACTAGACCTGCTGAAATATATAGTGAGCAGGTGCTAAAGTGCGTATCAACCAACTGACTCAGAATAACTAATAAAATCCTTGAACTGTGACAATAGGTGCACGATAAGAAGCCACTGGGACGTGTCTAATTCCAGAGATACTAGATGCTGAAATAATTATAGATGGTTACACCTTGTTCAGACAAGACTTAAACCGTGATCATGCGGGTGGAGTGGTTCTCTTCCTTAATGATTTCCTCCCTCCTGCTTTGCGCGTTTCTCTTTCTACTATTCAGTCGATCGAGATCCTATGGGTCAACATCGTCTTGCAGAGCAGGGATTCACTCCTCCTGGGGGTTGTATATCGCTCCCCATCAAGCACACATGGAGGAATGTCAATCACTGCTAACTCAGCTTCGTGACCTTCGTCCCACCTGCACTTTCCGACATCTTATCCTGGGCGATTTCGACGCCTCGAATATCGACTGGCCCAGAGGCCACTCCAGAGATAGAATTTTTGGTGCATCCCTTATATACCTCTTCAACGAACACTCGTGGTTCCAACACGTAGTATCTCTCACGAGATACCGGGTCAGCCACCGTCCCTCTTTGCTTGATCCTGCGATTACCAACGAACGACGCCAGATCAACATGATCTCGTACCTAAGTCCTTTTGGTAAAAGTGATCACCTCCTGCTTTCCTTTCACTATATTATCCGCTGGCTAATTTGCAGGCCCTCTTCCAGAATGCTACGTTCCTTCAAAAGGGCCGATTTTGTTCTCTTACGAGAATTCCTGGCCAACAGGCTGAGCTCCTGCAATATTGATAGCCACCCGTACAATCTGAATGAGTTGCTCGAGAGTAAAATTCACGAAGCGGACCACCTGTTTATTCCAAGAGTTTAATCTGTATCTGACCATAGGCCTCCCCTACCCCGCTCCATCCGGCATCTAATGGACGAGCGGGCCCGTTCATTTGCTAGACTAAAATGTACTGGGCTTGACGCCAATGCTATCGAGTTCAAGCGAATCCGCAACTTATGTAGGCAGAGAGTTAGGCAATTACACAACAGACAACAGAAAGCGATTTTTCTTCGTGCTAGAACTAACCCTAATTCCTTATTTAGGTCACTCCGCCGCAGAAGGCAGCCGACCTCCTCGACACCAGCCCTCAAGCTACCTGATGGCTCTCATGTAACCTCCTCTGCTCAGGTTGCAGATATCTTCCGGTCTCATTGAGAATCCGGCTTGAATTTCCTTCCTGTCTCTTCCCACCACATTCTTCCCTCTCTTAATGCACCACATCCATTAGAACCTTTCCTCATTATTTCAAGGGAGACCGAATCACTTCTTAAATCCCTGAATCCCTTTAGTTCTATGGGACCAGACGACATACACCCTCGAGTGTTGAACGAAGCCGCCTCGGTTCTTACCCCGTACTACTCCACCCTTTTCCAAAAGTGTCCAGATGTTGGAATGTTCCCTTCATCTTGGAAAAGAGGCATCACATCACCCCAGTTCAAAAAAGGTGATCTACACACTCCAAGTAGTTGTAGACCTATCAGCCTGACTAGCGTGATCAGTAATTACGTCGAACGGGTGTTAAAAAGGGCAATTCTAAAACACTTGACAGAAAATCAGCTTCTTTCTCAAACCCAACACGGCTTCCTCCCTGGCAGATCCTGCATCTCCAATATGCTATCTGTCATGGACAGTCTAACACAAGCCCATGATGACGGCTTGATTCCTCACGCAGTCTTTATTGATTTCGCAAAAGCTTTCGATCGTGTCCCTCATGCTCCCCTACTCTGCAAGCTCGAGTCATATAGCCTCAGTGGCAGACTACTTGCCTTTCTTCGGGATTTTCTCACGAACCGCACCTCCTCGGTTCGCGTAATTTCATCGTTCTCATCTGACTCCTCCATTTCTACCGGAGTCCCCCAAGGTTCCGTCCTTGGCCCCTCCTCTTCCATTAATATATTAATGACCCGCCACACAGGATCGGAGTCAACGTAGCAATGTGCGCTGATGATGTGACAATTTGGGGCTGTAAGCAGTCAGCAATGGATGCAGACAAAGACTGGTCTACTGCCTGGAACCTACCAATAAACGACTACAGATGTGTTAGTATGTCGTTTGCAAGGGTCCCCGTACATGGCTTCACGGCTAACTGTAGTGATAGTAGAAGTAGTAGTAGTGAAGTTACGCACAGAATTCAGGACACGAACTACGCAATAGGAATCATGGAACACGAATTAGAAAACTGATTGCACTGGACCGCAATGGCTCGAAATCGCAATAACCCGCAGGATCGAGACGCGAGGAAAAAGGCCACAAGACAGGCGAATCACAAAGTCGTTTATTGAAGGAAATGAAAGTGAATATATATGTACACAAGAAAAGATCATTGGCTACCTTAGTTTCCACCAATAATATTGCATCACATCTTGCGTCGTATTGCTCTTCTCTACATTGTATCTGAACGGTCCACCAATGACGTGTATCCGGAGACTGTGCACGTGCTACTGGCGTCAGCGCTCAAGGTCGATTGACTATCAATGTCCGGAAACTGTACCGCGCTGCTCCAGGGCGGGCGTGATCTCGTAGATCCGAATCACCACAACTCTCCTCCCTCAAAAGAGCCTCGTCGAATTGGCTTGCTCTTCTGATTGGTCTTCGGAGTGCTAGTGGGGTATTCTCGTCAGTACACGTTCTTGGAGTAGAAGGTTGCTGTGTATGGTCTTCTGTGGTTGTTGGCGATGTATCACAGGATGGGTTTTCTTGGGCTTCGTCGGCCGGATCCTTAATCGGAGTGGGATTCTCGTTGAAGTGGATTTGATCGATGTGACGTCGGTGAACTGCTGCATCTCTTAGGTCTGTGACCTCGACCATGGCTTGAGCAATCTTACGGGTAATGATTCCTTTCGGTGGTCTTAGGTCGTTTCCTCTGAAGTGTACAACGTCACTTGAATCCAGGCTGTAACTCCCAAATACATCAACGAGCGACGCGTGTCTCGTTGCGAGAAAATCATCTGAGTCATGTCTGGTCGCGGTAAAGGAGGTAAATGTCTCGGCAAAGAGGAGCAAAGCGCCATCGTAAGGTGCTGCGCGACAACATCCAAGGCATCACCAAGCCGGTTATCCGTCGTCTGGCCCGCCGTGGTGGTGTGAAGCGCATCTTTGGATTGATCTGCGAGGAGACTCGTGGTGTGTTGAAGGTGTTCTTGGAGAACGTGATCCGTGACGCCGTCACATACACCGAGCACGCCTAGCGAATAACCGTTACTGCCGTGGACGTTGTCTACGCCTTCAAACGTCAGGGCCGTACTTTGTACGGTTTCGGCGGCTAATTTGCGTGACTTTCTTTGTTCCGCACGAGAACGCATCACGGTCCTCTTTAGGACCACATGGTCGTATGAACTGGATACTGACGACAGCAGCCCTCGTCGGGTCGGATTCCGCTCGGGTAGTTTCAGTTGGAAGATGAACTCGTCTGACTCCGCGCCCCATCGCACTCCCAAGGTCGGCTCGATAGGAAGTGGCTGTGTGGTCAGGTTGAGGGCTCCGCTCGCTCGGTCCGTTTCGGGAACGTTATCCAGGACTAAACGTGAATTAGACAACCACTTGGTTAGACGGAACCCCCTTTCTCCAGTAGGTACTTGAGTTGCATCACGTGTTGAGAGGCTTTGCTTGAGTCTTCGAAGGNTACACAAGAAAAGATCATTGGCTACCTTAGTTTCCACCAATAATATTGCATCACATCTTGCGTCGTATTGCTCTTCTCTACATTGTATCTGAACGGTCCACCAATGACGTGTATCCAGAGACTGTGCACGTGCTACTGGCGTCAGCGCTCAAGGTCGATTGACTATCAATGTCCGGAAACTGTACCGCGCTGCTCCAGGGCGGGCGTGATCTCGTAGATCTCAATCACCACACTAATGCTTCTATGATTATGGAGAGAGTAGAACACCACAGTCTTTGGTTTCTGGCTGACCAGATCGCTCTCATTCTCTTACCACCAACAATCGGCCAGTAGATCCGCCTTCCGTGTTCTTAACTTCCTAAGACGTTCTTTTCCCAGAATTGATAGAGACGACTTTCAAATTCTATGTAGCATGTACGTCCGACCTTTAGTGGAATGTGGGAGTCAAATTGCTCACTCCCACCTGGTATGCGGTTGTACGGCCCTGTAGGTTGTTCAGCGGAATGCGGCAAAACTTGTGCATGGCTTGTCCTCCATCCCTCACCCTGCACGCCTTTCTATCTTGCACCTTTACCCCCTTGAAACCCGCCGAGCAAGAAGTGACATCCTCCTATTGTACAATCTCTTTAATTCCGGCAGTGTTGATGACTTCTCTGTGCGCACCAGCTCGGGCATTCTTCGTAGGCACAGCATGAAACTCTTCAAACCGCGTGCCCGTACACTGGTCCGTCAGTGCTCTTTCACCCACAAGGTCATTTCTCTTTGGAATAGCCTCCCCAAAAAAGTAGTTAATGCCCCCACAAGATCTGCTTTCAAAAGGAATCTAGACCTGCATCTTGGTCTAATCCCTGAACGGTAAACACCTCCCTGTTTCAAAGCGGTATTTATATCATGTTCAGCGTTTTTCCTTGTAATTCCCGATTTCTTGCACTGCATGCAGATACTGCCCCCTCTTTCCTCCTCTTACCTCATTTTAGGTGACCTTCTTGTGCAAACAGGACGCGGACTCACACAAACTCCCCAACATCCGCCCCCAGAAGAAACCTTAGAAACTACTAAGATCCGGGACCACTGGGCCTAGCCGCGCACCCATTCCATACTTCAAGACCATCAGGCTTGCAGTGGCCTAAAGAAGGTGTTGACACTCTACACAAAATACAAATTGCTCAAGTGGGTGTGCACGGGGTGCATTGAGGTACCCGCGACGGCTGCAAGACAGCCGAGTACTCCAACTAACACCACATGTATTAGCTCAGATTCTGGGTGAAGGGACACGATGGTGAGAAACCGATACCAATGATGGAGTAACTACAAAAAGGCCAGCAAAGATGTCGGTAGGATTGACGCACTGAAAAGGAAAATAGAAGAGCTAGAGGGTAAAATCAGGCAACAAGAGGGGCACTTGGAGTCCATTATGCAGAAGGCTAATCGGCTCGGGACGGCCATGCTCAAACTTGAGGTCAGCAGTGGGATAGCACTGGGCAGACAACGGAACGTAGTAATTTAAGGCATTACTGAGCCTCTATGTGTTAACCCAAAACAGAGGGAAAGGGAACTCCGACACTTGGTCACCAACCTGCTGAGGACGGCAAATGTCCCCGGCCACATTTTTCTCAAAAGGGTAGTTAGACTGGATAGATGGGTCGGAAGAACGGACAATAATCAGGGGGCTGCAAGACCCGTGCTGGTTGAGTTCGGGAACCCGAAATATCGAGACGCTTTCTTGACAGCGTCAGAAAGAGTGAGGATGGCGACTTCTGGTTTGGTCATAATTGAACCCGATCGCTTAAATATGGGGAGGGGAGAATTTAGAAACTTATCCTCTTCGAGAGTGCCATCTCTAGCTGGCCAGTGGAAGTCACCACGGTTAGCGATCGAAAGAGTGCAAGGCAAGCTCACACTGACTACCGACGCAACCCCTCGAGAAAAGTATGCCAGTATTGCTGGGCGTAGCCTCGGAAACTTATTAAGTTCGATGTTGAGGATGATCACCTCATCTCCGATAACAAGCATAATGCCACCAGGAGAGGCTGTAAGCACCCAGACAATCTATACGCCAACCACCACTACCGAGGTCCCAAAAAACGGACTCAGCCCTCGGGGGAGAGACCCGAGGGACTACCAGTGAAAACACAGGGAACGGAACACATACTTGGGCCGAAAACTAGGCACTTCAGAGACCAGTCGATCAAAGAGAATCGACCCGATTGTAACATAGAAGAAAATCCTGAAATAGATGTTAGGGTTGCTGAGAGGGGGCTCCGGAGTAGGCGGGGGGAAGTCAAAATCAAACAAATCCCAGATGACGAAACAAGCCACCAGTGCCCTAAGGCAAACATGAAACTGCTGGCTGGAGACAGTTTTGAAGTGCTCCTTACCAATGCGTGTAGCATCAGTAACAAATGGGCGGAGCTAAAAGCAGAGGCCTTGGGTGTACAGTGCATGGCCATTACAGAGACATGGCTGAAGCCAGAAGAGAGTATCAGCAAGTACTTTTTGGAAGACTTTTGTACCTATACAACTGACAGAGATGGGAGAATAGGAGGGGGAGTCCTGCTGCTAATGGCAAAATTCCTCGAGCAGCGAGCTGGAATCACACTAAACTCTCCCTGTCTCCAAGCTGTCTCGTGCAAGGTCAGAAGTGGGAGCGGGTGGGTCAACTTTGTTTGCGTATACAGAAGCCCATCAACGAGCGTGGAAGACGCCGGCTTGCTAGAGCTACTGGAAACAGCAGGCGAAGCACCAAATAACATAGTAATAATGGGGGACTTTACCGCACCAGAGGTAAACTGGCAGGATGAATGGGCTCCCACAACATCCTTCGGGGCTCGCCTGATTGCGTTTCTGCGGGAGCGGGACCTAATCCAGCAGGTACTACAGCCCACGAGATGCAGGGCCGGATGCACAGCAAGTCTGCTGGACTTGGTAAAACCAAGTGCCCAAATGATGTAAGAAACCTGGTACTGAGGGCTCCAATTGGTCGCAGCGACCACGTAGTAATACGCTTCGATGTATTATCTACGCCAGACAACCCACCGGGTAAGACACGACGGTCCCTTAAAAGAATTAACACTCGAGGGTTGCTAGATAGGGCCGCCACATTAAGCTTGGGAGAAAACATAAACACAGTAGGGGAACTGTGAGGAGTTATAAGCGGCAACCTCACTGATCTTATGGAAGAATTTACTCCATTGCGGAATAATCCGAAGGCAAGGAAGCCCCCCGTGTTGGACGAGTGGAGTGTGTAAGGCCCAGCAACGGAAACATGCTGCATGGACACGATTCAGAGGGACAGGAGGCCAAATAAGGCTTTTACAATACAGAAGGGCTGCTGAAGCTGCGCTGAGAGTTAAGCGAGCATGTCAGTTGAGGTATAAAAAGTGTCTCGCACATAAGGCCAAGACATGCTCAAAGGCGTACTACAACTACGGCCAATCGAAGGCTGCCCTGAGGTGAGCAGTAGGCTGTATGAGAGACGAAAACGGGCAGTATGCTAGGAATGACACAGAGAAAGCTGAGATCCTTAAAAGGTTCTTTGAGAGGGTACATCACGCGAATGGAGAATCTAGACCAGTCCTCCAAACTACCCGGGTGCCGGTGATGGCAGAGCCGCTCTTTCACCCGGAGGAAATACAGCTCGTACTGAGGGGATTGAAAGGGTACAGGTCTGCAGGGTCCGACGGCATCCACCCAGCAATTATGAAGCCTCTAGCGATCGTCTTGAGTGACCCGCTTGCGAGACTGTTCAGTCTGTCACTTGAGAGTGCAACTGCGCCGGAGGACTGGAAAGTGGTTGAAGTAGTCCCTATGCATAAAGGGGGCTGCACGGAGTAACCGACCAACTATAGACCGGTCAGCCTCACACCGGTCTCACTGAAGATAGTGGAAAGAATATTGAGGGATAGGATGGCACAGCACCTCGTAACTCACGATTTGCTATCGGACAAGCTACAGGCTTTGTTAAGGGGAAGTCGTGTTTGACGGACATACTAGCATTTCTTGACGAGGGTACAACCAGGCTGGATAGAGGACAAGGGGTCGAAGTGTGCTACCTTGACTTTCAGAAAGCATTCGACTCCGTCAACCATCGTCTTCTAGTGCGAAAAATACAGGCACTCGGCATTTGCCCCTGCATCGTTGGGTGGATCGATGAATACCTCCAGGGAGAACCTTCCACGTTAAGGTGGAGGGGGCAAGGTCGGGTTGAGCAGCCGCGCGCAGTGGCGTTCCCCAAAGAATGGGTATTAGGGCCGCTACTTTTCATCATCTACATCAACGATCTGCCCCAAGAACTGGAAGGGCCGTGTTTTGTGTCCGCGGATGATGTTAAGATATTTGGGGACCCCACCTCAGCGCAAACGCAACAAGACCTAGACCGTCTGCAAAACTGGCCGATGGATTGGGCGATTCCACTGAACATCAATAAGTGCAGAAGGCTTCTATTCCAGGGAGGCCAGCCACCATCAACTAACAGGCGACTAAACCCGGATAATCCTCAGGCAATAACCCAAGCAGGGCAGATGCGGGATCTGGGAGTGCTCATACACGAGACCTGCAAACCGGTCA